TACTTTGTAGTCTGAGAATGCGATTGCTGTAACCTTTTCTGGGACAATATTCTCACTACGTCTACTCAAAGGTGTGTGTTCAGTAGTCAATTTATTCATTTCTCAATTTTCCCATACCACTTATATTATTCCAGTCGCTGACAGGGAGGCCCTACTTTTATTGGTGCCTACGCATCTTTTTTTGTTTCTGCGCTTGCTTTCTCTATTCTACGTGTCGTACTAATTTGCGTTTCTTAATTACGACTTTTGACGGACATTTTGGCGTTTATCTGTCAAAACTAACACTCATTTGTTTACAGACATTTTATTGGCGGCAGGTACAATCAACACCATGAACATATAATGCTATAAAAGTGTAATAACGTGAGAAAAATTATATGAAATATCAGAGTCTTTTTTGTTTGTTATGATCAAGTGACGGGACGAACAAGTCATAAAGTTGCAGTGCCATACAGAGCTTAAAATCAAGAAGATCTGTGAGGTACTGCCCTGTGCGCACGTCACCTTGAGACGTAAGTTGATAAGTTCCATGTGTCTGTAATTTCACAATAGCAGGCTTAAATGCTCACATTAATGCTTGGCGGCAGAAATAGGAAAGGTGGCTACTTCTCCCGATAAATTCTTTCTCTTCAGGGAGCTCTTCTGCTGTTGAAAATGCGTTATGCTAGTACTCATAGGGGTATACTCTATTGTGCGATGTTGAGCTAAGAAAATAACTTTGTAGCAACACACAGAACCCCCAAAAAAGAACCTATTTCGACAAGTACGCGTCTCAAATTGTTTCTACCGGGAATCTGTCCTGATGCACTTCTTACTTAGCGTACACATTGCTGACAGCTACACCACAGAGGTCGTATTAAAGTACTTAGAAATTGTTATGGTTCATAAGCAACACTAACAACTATTACAGAAGATTCCGTTTCCATCGCTGAAATGTGTTGCCCCTTGTTAATATTTGCGGTTTTATTGATGTTTCTTGACAGTTATGGCGCAAGTTAGAATAATTAATATAGACAGTTTAAAGTCTCGTAAATAATTCGTAGTTAAAGAGAAGGAAATATGCAGGGTTTTATGTAAATTACTAATAACCTCGCAGTACATGGCTGACATAGGACCTGTAAAGGGCCCGAAATGTTGGTTTGTTTGTAAAAACAAATAAACGCGACTTAAATCCGAAAGAAAAATAGTTTCAATTCCTATATGTAACAGTTTTTTTTTTACAATATTTAGTGACGGAAGGAACAAGGCGTGTGCCTGATGATAAGCTACACGCCTGTTCATAACAGTTGCAGTGCCACTCAGAGCTTTAAATCGCAAAGATCAGAGGGGCACTGCCACTGCGCCCGTCACCCTGAGACATGTTGACAAGTCACCCTTACCCTTCAAAACCGGAACACAGTAATGCTGATATATTACTGATTGGCCGCAGAAATAAATAAGGTGGCAGTACTACCCTGGGCGAATTCTTTCACAAAAAATTCCACTAGGGAAACCCTTATACTTACACTAGGGACACACACACATATAGGTAGACAACCACAAATTGCACCCCAACTCACGAAAAAATAAATGTACAAATATTTTTCCCCGCCAGGGAAGCGAACCCGGGACCTCTGCTTGGCAGTCCATCACGGTCATCGTTCGAGCACGGAGACAAAACTAATCTATGGATAAATTGATTCGTATAATAATGAAAATGTAAATTATGTCGTTTCCCAAAATACCAATACAACAGATTGAAATAAATAGCGTCCAATATATCTACCAATATAATGATTGAATAATCTAGATACTAGTACATTCAAATCAATCTTTAAGGAGTCGACTTAATGGCATTTGCCATTAAGTAGCTGCATTCTGGTGAAAATGTGCACCTGGATATCTCCATACCAGTAACGTTCTCTGAAACGAGGCGGTCAATCTCTTTATACAACGTTTATAATCAAGTTATCCGAAGGAAAGACGACTGATGAAACAAATTTGTGAGGCGAGAGTGAACGGGCAATTTGGTAAGGCGAACTTACCACCACAACCAAATTGAAGACATCCAAAAGAAAGGCAAGAGTATGTATGGAAGCACAGATACGTGTCGATGGGCAAAAGATGTAGAAGATCGTGTCGCAAGTGGAACGTTGACGGCTCTGCCCACACCAATGGGACAAAGTTTACGTGTATGTTATTTTGGTGAAATAAATAAAAACAATGCTCTACTTTAAGCAGCAGTAAAGCTCATTGTGAAATAGATCGTTCAGGAAAGCACTGCCACCTTACCTGTTTCTGCCGCCAAGTTTTGAAACAACCTTTTAACATGTCAACATGTTTCTCAAGGTGACGCGTGCAGTGGCAGTGCCCCTCATATCTTTGTGATTTAAAGCACTGAATGACAGGCGTGTTCCGTCATTTACTATCATACAAAAACCGAGTAAGCTATTGATTATACAATCATAGACAGAGTTAACATGCCATTTGCAGTACATGACGGGCTGCCACAGAACATGCAAGATAAGACAAAAAAAGATGTCTCTATAGACCTTCTTTAACGAACTCGACATCCTTCTGTTGGGAATACAATAGGCTGATGAAATGAATGATTCAGACCGATGGAGTATTTTTAATTTGACAGACATAACGACGTACATCAGTCGCATAGAAAAAAAACAACGTAACGCGGTAAAATGTCATGTCAAATGTAACGTTACATTATACGTACGAAACTCGTAGATATTGCTACTAAAAGAAATAACTGATTTTCCACGGTAATTGAAACTAAGCCGTAAAACAAATAAGCATTTGTTACGTCTATCTAACTTGATTATTGTATCTATTAGTTTTACAATTACTATAAGAATTTATGTAGACTTAATAACGTAGTAAAATATAGGGAATGATTGTGTAGGCACTGCTCTCTGCGGATATACTGTCCTACTATTGGTCGTACTTTCTTTAATTAAAATTTATCTCTCTTCATTTCTTAAAATGATGGATAATAATATGACAAAACTGACATTGTAGACTACCACAGCAAGTTGTATAGTAGCAGTAGATCTCCTTATGAAAGAGTTTGTCCAGTACTGCTACCTATTTCCGTTATTGCGTTCCGGTTTTTCACTTTTTCACCTCACTAATAGCTCGGAAAGGCTTCCTTTCTCATTCGAAATCTGCGTGCAAAAGCGTTTTTTTGAAATTCGAACTGGACGACGGACTGTGGTGCACCTTACTTTTTCTTTCGATGAAAAAAAAGATGATAGCACATTCAACTACGTGATTTATCGTACATTATTTATGTAATATAAATCCGTTGGTATATTTTATTCTTATTATAAGATATCTGAAAACATACTTACAGCCGAACTTCCTCCTTCTTTGAATTCGGTTAAAAATTACCTGAAAAAGATTTTAAATCAACATGGCCGATACATAATTAATTGTAGTTTGACATTATTTTTTTATGTTTTTAATTAATACCTACTTTAATACAGCACGGACATTTTCAAATTCGTTCAATTCAAATTTTAGAAATTCGTTATTTTATTAACTAATGTATTACGGTAATATTTCTATCGGCTCTCTGTTTTATCGTCATGCGATGAAAAATATATCCTCTATTAAAAAGTCATATAATGGACTCTATATGTTCAAATAGGTTATTAAATATCACTATAATATTATAACGACCATAACAGATATAAATAAGACTTTCAAATTTCACTTGTCAATTAACTAACTGCCTGTAAATAAGCTAAGTAGCAATTTACCTGTCGATAGATATCGAAGATAAGTTACGTAGTGTACATAACTTTTTGATTATTATCGTAAATTTCAAAATGTAAACAATTTCTAAGTGCTTTAGTAGGTAGGCATAGATATATGTTTAGAAATGACAGGGCGTCTGGACTAATAAAGTGCCTTGCAAACGGGCTTTAAATTTGTAATCGAGTGTTTTATACCATAATATATAGTCTCAATACAAAGTACTAAAAAACCTACCTCAAAAGTGCGTGGAATTACCGGAAAGTGCGCGAAACTAGATTCATCCCTTAGTTTACCACCGTTAGAGGTGTAATATTTTCTTCAAATTTAAATGGGACTACTACTGATGTACCTTCTTTCCAACAAAAAAAGAATCATCAAAATCTGTTCACAAATGCCGAAAAAAATACAAAAAAAACAGTCGAATTGAGAACCTCCCCTTTTTATGAATTCGGTTAAAAAAGATTCGAACGATTCCCTGCCAATTATGTATTTAACAATTAATTTAATTTTATTATTTATTTATTATAAAAACTGTGCGCACGAACGAGCAAGTCGAGCGCCTGGTGGTAACCAAGTCCCATGTGCTTGTGATTTCACTAACACCCTTCATTGCCACCTGCAGAATTGTATTTTTATGCAAATTACAAATTTCTTCCGTATCGATAGAGAAAAGCGTGTAATTATTTGAAAACTGTGCAATTTGAGTGGAACCCAAGAAACTCACTATACTTCGATTATAGTATAGTACCAGCTTGAATGTTTGAATAATTTACATGTCAGAAAATAAAGATTTTTTACTAAGGAGACGTCCGCAAAACAGACGTTTCATACAAATTTTTCATACTTAATGAAACAAAAAGCTATGAAATAGGTGAATTTTTCTCGCTATTACAACAAGCAACTTGTAGTAGAACTTCTATTACATTCAACTGAAGGAGTGTGCACTCCTTAGGAGTTTTATATGCCCGTCACATATTCTAGAGACATACGGTGTCCCTAATAATTTTAATAAAATTATTTTTATAAAATTTCAAAATTTTTATTATGTTTCTTTAAACATATTTTTGTATTACGGACACCGTGTGTCTCTAGAATACGTGACGGGCTAATAAAACTCTTAAATGTCTTTCACTTCTTCATTTGAATGTAATACTGGTTCTTCTAGAAGTTGAATTTCTTTCGAAAATGTCTTTGCGTGAAACGTGGTGTAATAATAAAAATGACATATTGCTTCTTTTTGTCCACAGTGGCGGCAATATCAATCCTGTTAGAAGTGGGAGTTCTGCCCAGCAGACGAGCTGGCTTCACCTGCAAGGATCCTGCACTCTCCTTCCCCTACACAGGAGACACCTTCTCTATTTCACTAGTGGCTGCCATCACTATCGTCATTCCTTTTCTTGTGGTAAGTTTAAACGAGATTTTAGGGTTGACTCCCATTTATTTATCAGCACCACAAAGATAGAAGTTAGCTTGTAAGTAGAATGAGCTCATAGCTCATTTGTTTTAGCTCTTTGGAAATAATCTTTTGTTAACGTACCTACGGTAAATACAATAAGTAGTTGCATCACGTTGCCACGAGGAAATCGTGTAACTTGTTAGTTTAAGTTAATTGTTAAGCAAACCATATTGTTTATGATTGCAGCTAAATACACGCATGAATGAAAACTCCGTAGTTTTCCATCATTATTACCCATAAAAGAAAATATATACATAAGTAACATGATAACGTAATAAAATTTATATTATTCGCGTTTCAAAATAATAAAACTTTTGTTTTACTCATGAATTCAGATAGGTTGTGATGTGTGGTGATTTTTATTTGGCTTATCTTTTGTCGGTCTTCGTTTGAATAATTTCATATTTTTTATTTTTTTTATATTTACCTCACCATACTTAGTTCTGCCGCCAAGCAGTAGTGTAAGCATTCATACGTTGCGATTTGAAAAGATAATAAGGGTGCTAGTAAATGTATAGGTACGGACAACGGCACTTCAGACTACACATTTTTGTTTGAAAATCGCCTCCATAGCACAGGAACAAGATACGTCAATGTGTAGAACTTAACTATTTATACCTCTCTCCGGATCCTCCGGATCTGGTTATTATTATCGAAAATCGCTTCATCGATGGTTGCGATATCGAAAACGTTACATCGAATATCGAAGTACGTTATACCGATGTTGCGAACCACCAGTGGGTTAAAAAACCAATCAAACCGCCTGGGTTTTAATTGGGTTTTAAATCGTTAGCGGAATCGGTGAATACGAAATTTGCTATAATTCTATTCGACGAAATAATTTTTTTTTTTATGAAAAAATTGCAACTCCACATGATACAATCCTTTCAATTCTGTGAATTGTTGTTACTAAGAAAGCGCACTACGATTCAATTTTTACGAAAATGGATTCAAACGCAAGTCAAAATTGGATTTATTCCAATGCGATTTTCTCGCAAATCAATTCCATAGAAAAGCAAATCGAATCGTCTAAACAAATATTTAGTTGTAAATAGTTTTTGCCTTCGATTTCGGGCATTAACGGATTTTACTTAGGATTGTTAGAATCCGAGCGCGTCAATGTAGTGTTTTATATGATTGCCTGGTAGAGAGTGCCTTATGTGTATCCGCTATTTATATTATATTGTATTTTGAAAAAAGTTAAAATTAAAATTAACTTTGTGTATTACAAATAAATATCAGTCTAATTTTAATCTCTGATAAAATTAATTTGCCAATACATTTAAAAAAATCACATTCTTTTCAGCTATGGTCTGTAGAAGCAATCCTCCACAGAGAAGATGAATACACATTAAAGAAGAACAAGCTATGCGTAAGCGCAAAGACCGCAGCGCTACTCTACCGGGACTATATACATGGGGCTGTGGTTGTTTTGACAATCCTGGAGGTGGTTAAATGCGTTGTTGGCTTGCCGAGACCTACGTTCTTCGATTTATGTGATCCTGATACTGGACGATCTTGTAACGGGTAAGTTACCTTCATCCAGTAGCGTAAGCATCGACTTCTGCCGCCGGGGGCCAACCAAAATCTGCTACCCCCCTCTATTTTCACAATTACAAACGTAGTTTGGGCATGCTTGGCTTGATTGTGTTTTATATTCACCTGCTGTCGCCATCTTTGTCTTGTTCAGGATATAGTCCTGAACTACTTCTTTCTTATTTATTTACTTATTTATTTATTCACAATATAAGTTTACAGCTGAAGCCAAAACACTTATATGCTAATCAATATATAGTTAACTATATATACTCTGCTTTGGATTCTTAAAAATTCGTTGAGGAACAAAACAGCATATTTTAAGAATTCGTTTGAACTGTCATGGAATATGTCGGCACGTGACTGTTGTGTGAGCAATTGGCGAAGCAAAGAAGTCGCCCGAGCAGTAAGTGCCTGTGCACCACCGCAGGTGCGCAAGCGAAGCGTCACGAACAAGGGACGCACGCACCTCTGTAGTATAGCACCACCGCCACGCAAATATCGGTCAGGGACAAACAGACTCACCCGAGATACCATTCTCATGTTGTCAACCCCACCATTAAAAACAGCGTGTTAATGTATTATGAGCATTAGTTTACGCCTCAGTAATAAGCTGTCCAATCCAATCATTCAGTACACAAACATAGTAGGGAAAAGATACGGGTAAACATTGTACATCTTTTTATACGGAAATCTTGCAAACCTTTTCTGCACCTTCTCTATCATGTAACTAAATGTGGCTTCGCGAGGGTCCCACACTAGAGCTCCGAATTCCAATACACTGCGAACGTATGCGTTGTAAAGCATCAAAGCTACCCTGGAGTCGCTGAAAGGATAAGCTGTTCTCATAATAAACTCCAGTGTCCGGCTTACCTTTTTGCAAAATGCTATAATATGGTCTTTGAAAGTAAACTGCGAATTTAAAGTCAAACCAAGATCCCTAATCACCTCCACTCGATCAATCGCAGTATCGCCTATGCTATAAGAAGCAGCGTAAGTTTGTACTCTTGCGAAAGTGATAACCTTGCACTTGGATAAGTTGAACTGAAGGCGGTTGGTCCGTGCCCACTCCTCTACTGCAGAGTTGTCGTCCTGCAACTTATTGCTATCCTCAGGTCTTTTTACATCGATGTATAGCTTAACATCGTCAGCAAATAGTAAACATTTTGCGTACCGAACTACTGTAGGCAAATCATTGATCATCATCAGAAATTGTGTAGGACCCAGCGTACTCCCCTGACTAACTCCTGATAGAGTATAATAGAACTCAGAGCGACAGTCTGCAAATTGAACATATCGACTCCTATCTCTGAGGTAACTAGCAAAAAAGTTTAAGAGTTTAGAGTTAAATCCAAATTCAGCAAAATTTTGAAAGTAGGATATCATTGTCTACTAAATCGAATGCTTTTTTAAAGTCGAAGTACACAGTGTCTACTTGGGATTTATCATCTAATTTTGATAATATGTAATCTGCGAAATTTATATGATTGGTTGTAGTGGATCTCGAAGATCGAAAACCATGCTGGCAGTCAATGAGCAATGGATTAATTTGTCGTTTTAGGCGTGAATCAATGATACTTTCAAACACCTTTCCGAACACTGAAAGAGCCGCAATTGGTCTGTATGATATAATATCTACGTTGGAAGTTTCCTTGGGTATTGGTGTTACTCTTGACCCTTTCCACGCTTGGGGGTAGTGGGAGTTTTTAGAGCAGTGTTATACAAATGCTATAGCGGAACCTCAAGAACAGAGATACAATCTTTGACCATGAAAGGCGGTATAAAGTCGGGCCCAGGAGAAGAATGGGTATTTAATTTCCCAACGGAACGACGAATATCTGAGACAGTTAATTTGTCTATAGTAATATAGATACGACGTCGACGCACCACCGGATTTTGCAGCCTTTTCCGCATTGAGTTCAGGCATGCGGTCCAAGAATACGGAGCTGAAATGTTTCGCAAATGCAGTAACTGCGTCCTGCCCCGAAACGATGTTTCCCTCATAGTTATATTCAGTTGTGTGCCGTCGATCATTTTTTCTGTTTTTAACATATTGTCAGAAGGCTGCGGGGTCTCTAGCTATTCTTGACATGATCGCTACTCTAGAAAAGTTCGCTCCATCCGCTATCACCTCTCATGCGCGGCCAAATGCCACTTACGCTTCCTGATTTTGCGGGCTATGTCGCTTACTTTAATTCTCTGACGTATGACTTCATTAGGAATTCAGTCCGTCTGAGAAACTCCATGAAATTACTTTATTATCGTATAAAATATGTAGAATAATTTCCAAGGTAATTGCAATAGTGAAATCCGCGTCGTATTTATTTAAGATTGTTTTGATTCAAAATTGTACCATGACGCAGGTGAAAGGATATTAGTTGTCACCGCTACGCCATGGTGATATAAGGTAGTAGTAATAAATGAGTCATTGGTTGGTAGATGACTGGTTATAATTTTGGTTAAGAAACTTATTTATACGTACGTGCGTCTTTATGCTGATTTATAGTGTAAGGTCGTTACTTTTGCTTGCACTAAGATGTGAAGTGTGTGAGTATGTGAGAGTGTGTGTGTGTTTCTGCGTGGATGTGGGTGTTTGTGTGAATAAGTGTCAGTGAGCTATGTGTGTCGTATGTTAAAATCGAGAATACGATGATTGGAATATATTGTATACACCATGGATATAGTATACACCAAGGTATATAGATGAGAGTTTGACATTCTGGAACGTCTAATGGCTGCTACAAAAATAATGTGCCTGACCATTATATTACCTGGTCTCAAACTTGCAACGGAATTCACTTCGGGGCAGCATCCAGAACACCTAGATTAAAACCAATTTAGAAAAACTCATATTCCAAATTAGTCTTAAGGGGAATCGAACCCGGTACCCCGTTGTCGGCAGAGGTCATCTTTAATTTATGAATTGATTAATATTTTTAAACTTTCTTGCTCATTAACATTGAACCAATAGCCACACAATGTGGTTATGTTTTGTATAAAGGTGTACACCTATTGTAAATATCGGCTTATAAATCAATTTTGTAATACTCGCAGCTCATTTGATCCACACTCAATCTGTATGTCGTTTTGTTGGACATTGTCCAAGTTTACGGATATTTGTATATTGAATAAAAAATAAAACATTAAATGTAAGGAAAAAAAATCAGCTTTTTTCGCGTCTTTTAACCGTATGTTTTCATTTTTTTGAAATTCATTTAATAACTTTTCTACGTCAACAGGTCGGTTTTCATAACGACGTACAAGTGCCTATCTTCGAAGTATTCCCGCTACCTCCAGATTGATTCAAGCCGAAGCTTCCCGTCTGCGCACGCCGCGCTTTCAGTACACTGTGGCTTATTTCTTGCAGTAAGTTTAAATGTGCATTATTTATTTAAAAGATTATAGTAATTCGTATTCCCTGTATTATTAGTTAGCTCGACGATATATATATACTACTCATCTTAACCTACGGTGCACGAACAGTCGACAGAGATTTTTTTATGATATCAATTGATGTGATGAATAAGTTGTGCACCTGGCGGTAAGCGACAGGATATTTAAGCTTGTATTGAATTATATAAAATAAAATAAAATAGACAGTATGATATATAGATGTGATATATATATCATACTCTCTATTTTATCACTATTCCAAAATGCATGTGTCCATTGGATACACTACAGAAGTGTTTTTTTTCCCACGACTAGGCGTGTAACTTACCATCAAGCGCACGGCTTGCCCGTCCCGTCACTGATATTATAAAAAAAGCTGACTAGAGATGTCCTCTAATATTGTAACTTTTAAGTTTTTATTGATTGTTTGACGACCATGATATTTAATTATTGTAAAAAAAATGTCATGGTGGTCAAACATCATGACATTCAATAAAAGTTTAAAAATTACGTTGTTTTGCTTTTAATTTCACAGTTTTAATCCTAAATCTTTCCACAGTGGTACCTCCAGCGGCGAGCGTTCAGTTGGCATAACCGATCAGTACTTGCGGTTCCGCTAATTCAAACAATTTGCCTGATTTACGCCGCCGTCTGCTCACTCACGAGGGTCACGGACCACCGACACCATTGGTGGGACGTGCTGGTTGGAGCAATGGCTGGTTTTGTCAGTGTTTCATACACGGTAAGTAACAGCTTTGTCAACCCGTTCCTCTCCCGTCGTAATACTATTAGATTTAGGACAATGTATTTTTCCATTTAACATTCCACACCTCAGCGAATTGATGAAACATCGACAATATATGGGTAATCCTTCATCCACATCTTGACGACCGGTGACCGAAATGAACGGTTGAGATACCATGTAATATCTTCTCATAAAGTTTATACTGGATGAAAATTAAATGGATGTACGGACGATTGTGGAATTTTTACACTCTTATATCAACATTCCACCAATCTGCTCGAACTCCTCTTTCTTGGTACGTACAGCTAGAATCTAAAATTCTTTGACTGCTGATTTGTTCACCGATAAATATTATAATAATAAAATGCCAGAGAACCACATCAATAGCCTGGTCTCAAACTAGGGAAATTCCAGTACTATGAGTATCCACTCTGGGGTACTGCCCGGAACAACCAGCGCAGAACCAATTCAGAATGGTCAATTTCACAAATTGGTCTTACCGGCAATCGAACCCGAGACCTCCTCATCCAGCGTCCACAGTGCAGAACCGTTGAGCCACCGAGATCGTTATTATTAACGAGATAGTGATTTATAAACCACGTCTAAATAAATAAATTTATTTCCAGGTTTTAGTTCTTTGCAAGAATTTCTCCCAGCCGACCGTAGTAAGCACCAGCGATCTGTCCAGCAGTGACGGGAACAACCAACAATCCGTGCGACATCTGCTCTCCAGCAGGACACATGTACTCAGACCCTAGCCCGAGGCTGTGTAAGCAAATGCTTACAGGGAGTAAAACAATTGTAAATGTGATGCTTGCTGAATGAGAAATCATCATCAGATCACTTGCCTGGCTTACTTGGAAGTTTAGAAATATATGAGCTCTTTCAGAGGCTTTAAACTATTTTAAAAAAATGTTTAAAAGCTTTCATGCCTGTTGCATTTGACTGTTATGTTTAAAATTGAAAAAAAAAGTTATTTTTTTTCCCATACAAATCCCCATTAAACGTTCTAGAATACATCTGATCAATTGTCCTAATTAGATCATGAAGAATGACTTGGCTATGAGTACTCATAATTTTCTTAAAAATCGAAGTGAGAAGGAGTTTGCAAGTGAAGAGACTTTAAGTGCTAGTTTTAATGTTTGTTTAATGTTTGATGTTCAAATAGAATAGTAGTCGATGTTCAAAGGGTAGTTCTCACGGTTTAGCCGTTTTTTGTGTATAGCGGCTTATAATAAATACAAAAAATATGTGCACATTTCTGTAAAAAGGTGTTTTAGAATGTAAGTATAATGCCCAGTATTTTTAAACTCAATATTCCACTACAGTACCTCCCGGCACGCTAATTTGGCCGTTTTGACAGATTACAATAGTGAGGTGAAGTCTCAATTAATTCTCGAAAAAAATATAATCAAATGCAAGTCACATCTATAACTTTTTAGATTTATAACTAGTATTGCAAGGGTAGCAGATTAAAAAGTTTTAACCTTTTAAACTTTATATTGAATTGGTATTCAATATTTTTTTTATGTGAAATTGCTCCACTAGTTTGTTATAATTATTTATACAAAATTCGAACTGAGAAAAATTTTTTTCGATCCGACTGGATTCGAACCGACGTCTTCTAGCATACCGTGTTACCGTGTACCGCTTTACCAACTAAAACTAGTGGAGTAATTTCACATAAAAAAAAAATTAATATCAATTCAATGAAAATTTAAATACAGTGAACAGCGACATCTCTAGCCAGGGCTGGTAGCTGTAAAGGTATCTAACTGGGCAACGAAATACTTAAGATTTCTCATAGATGGCGCTACGGCTAAAAAGTCGTTGCAAAACCATATACAAAAACACGACAAGAAACACATAGAAAAATTGGTGAGTTTCGCTGGTTGGTTCCGTTGTTTAGTTGGTATAGCGTCTGGCACGGTATGCTAGAAGACGTCGGTTCGAATCCGGCCGGATCGAAGGAATTTTTTCTCAGTGTTCGATCTTTGTATTAATAATTATAACAAACTATTGGAGTAATTTCACACAAAATAATTGAATATCAATTCTATAAACAGTTCACTCAGTATATTTTAATGAACCAAAGCAACGTCAATTTGCATTGAGCTTTGACGCGAATTTGCCGGAGGTAGAAGTTGCGCTGGCCAGCAATCATAGGATTAAAAGTGACGATTAAAATTTCTAATTTCGAAAAACAAATGCCGAGTTGTGTCGTAAAATACATTCCATAAATTTTACTGCACGTCACTATTGACTACAATGTACAGTAATTGTTTCCTTCAACGTAGCTATGAATTAATACGAAACTTGATGAGCGGATAAACGTCAAAACGGCCATCATAGCGTAATGGTACTTTAGAAAATTAAGTATCGAACCACACAGAAAACATCAGCACCATAAACATTAAATCGCGGTGCTGACCTGACGAATAGTGAGGTGTGACCCTAAGTTCACCCGTCATACCCAACTTATTGATTTACGAAGTAATATTATTTTTCAGTGATTGCTTTTCTTTGAATTGGTACCGAATTGAAAATTGGACAAAATTAATTAGATATTTGGATTTTTTACGAAAATTTACAATGACAGTATAAAAATCTATTTATAATTGTAAATAGGTAACATTAATTCTTTTAAACTACTAAATAAAAGAAATATTTTCCAGGCACCCTATATACCGCTTTAGACTTTTACCTTTAATGTTCATTTGAATCTTTAACTGGCATATTCAAAGTTACAAGGACATCTAAACGACATTTACTGTTAAAGAGAGAGACAGACGCACTGAACTTAGATTTAGTTTAGTTTTAATTCATCCCAATAGAGGCGATTATATTTGTTTGTAAACTTTGCAATATGTTGTGAAAATACCAGTGAATTAAAAAAATGTTAATGTGTATAGTTAATGTTTGACAGGTAAGACATAAACCCATAACGAGTTGCGAAAGATAAAAATAACTATTCTTTTTTTGAAAGTACATAAACATCTTTAATAAACGTCGATACTATAACAGAATTCAAAATATATGTATTTGACATACATACAGTGGGACAAAAAAAAAACAAATTAATAATGAAACTCAATTTTCAAATGGGTCTGGGCTACAAAGTACTATGAAATATGTAACCCTCGCTGAAGCAATAGAACCCATTATCATAGTGTTTGTCCAGGGAGGCACTACCACCTTACGTGTTTCTGCCGCCAACCAGCAACTTGTATTTCAGATAGGTAACAGTGCCTTTGTCTGATTTTTACAACTGAAAACTATGAGTGGAGTAAGAAAAAAAGAATTTTGCCATAACATGTAATTTGCGCATGCACATCTGCACGAAAACAACTGTAAAATTGTATTAAAAATCGTTATATGCACCAATTAAAAGATTTTTATTGTCCTACTTAACTACGTCAGAACATCGAAAACCATAGAGATACGAGAAGGCTGGTAATTCCATATTTTAAATTTGGATTCTGTAGTAACTTGTCAGCTGTTTATTTTATTTATAACAGTGCGTAATCATATACTCCATTGCAAGCAAACTATATAAAGTCATTGTTCTACTTAACTATCTACTAAAAGTTTATTGAATATAAAGTAAAGAAATTAAAAAAAATCGTATGTACAAAGGCAATATATCAATAATTAATATAACATATTCGTGGTGCTTGAAGACGGTACAACAATTTTACATAAAAAAAATGAGAAAAAATTCTAAGACAATTATCTTTCTCATGTCGAATAAAGAGTACGTTTTTTGCAGCACCGTGTATGAACCCACGACAGTATTCGCTGTATAGTACCTGTCTAGTCGTAAGTGTAATTAGTTTAATTATAATTTTAAAATGTAACAAATAAACGGACCCACCAATAAAGTTTATGGAAAAATAATTTATAATTTATTCGATTAATTTTATTTTTTTTACTGCAAAAACGTGAAACCCTGTGACTACTAAGTATACAGTTCGAAAAAATCCAACTGTACTTTCACTTGCAATCGATCACATCAAGAACCTGCTAAAGGAACACAATAACTGGGGTTTCTTGTTTTTCATCTAAATATCATCATTAGATAGGTAACAAGTCTAGAACCATTTTAATCGAAGATGAGTAATATTTGTCTCAGTAGTTTTAGGACATTTTTTGCATTAATCTGTTCGGGTATCGTCACGTATTCAATACCGATATGTGGTCACTTTCTCGTGGCGCTATAAAAGAAATATTTTCCTGGCACCCCCTATATACCGCTTTAGACTTTTTTACCTTTCCATTGACGATGTGTTAAAATTTTGACATGCAATAAACTTGAACCTTTAGAATGATGATTTACTTGTCAAAACCATTGGCTATCTGCCTACCGAAGCATAAAGTTCGTTAATTGTCAAAATTTTAATTGTTATTAAATCCAGAATTCCACATTACTGTTACCAATATTGTAAAATAATTTTATTTATTTATGACACCGTATTAAACATAACATTCCTTCGCATTTAGTACTATTTTAGATCTAGATACATTTTAAACCTAAATCTAGAATTTCTTGTTGTAAATATTTGTACCTAGATTTAGATTGTTCTGCCTATGTCTGAAATAAATGACTAGATAATTTTTACTATGGTTTTATTTTAAAACATTAGAGACACTAAATTTTATTGAATATCATTATGTTTTTTACTGCAATGATATACATATTTTTTGTGAAAATGCTTGACTTGTTTTTTGTTATTGTTGATCTTCTTCTTCTTATCGTATCGATAGCAGACAACATTATCGAAATTATTAACCAGAACTTCGAGTGGTTATACGACTTTTAGCAGCGATGCAAACGCGCGTTCATGAAACGCGCGATTGCATCGCTACACTTACGATTTATAGCCGACTGCATCGATGTGAACGCGCGACTGCATCGCTACACTTGCGATTTATAATAATAATAACGCACACTCAACACAGCCCCGTATTAGGGAAACCCTATGTCGCGGGTGCCATGGACACACACTTAGACAACCACAAATTACACCCAAACTCACGAAAGAAATACATGTAGGCGATACAAATGTTTCTCCCGGCCCGGGAATCGAACCTGGGACCTCTGCGTGACAGTCCGGCATGGTAACCGTTTGGTCACGGAGGCAGTATAGGCGATTGCATCGATGCAAATTCGCGATTGCATGGATACAAACGCGCGATTGCATCGCGTTTGCATCGCTGCTAAAACTCGCCGTTTGTAACAGCTCTTAGCCACGCTGTTTCGCCACAAATATGGAATATGCCATCGTGGTGATGGATTTACCAATCGGCGTAAGTTACTCGCGAATTGTTGCCCAAGATACGCCAGACGTACTATTTGTACGCCATTGCTGGGAGGCTCCTTTCGTGCACCCCAATTATTATAATATTTATGTATTCTTTATTGCACCAAATAAATACAACAGATGTTGAGCAAAGGTGGACTTATCTCTAATAGATATCTCTTCCAGCCAACCCAGGACAGTGAGAGCTAAGGATATAAGCGGGCAACAGCGTGAAAGAGGAAATGAGAAAGATATATAATAAACTTAAGCGAACAGGCGCGTTTGCGACGCATTCGCCAGACCTGCACGCACCATTACTATTATTAATTATAATACTTAGTGTATGTTATGATTAATTATAATACTTAGTGTATTATAATTAATCATAATAAATAGCATCAATATACATACACATAAATATATAAACATAGGTACGCATGCATAAATAAATATGTAAATAAACAATAAGATTACAAAGGGAGTTCAAGCAAGAAAGTGCGCTGTCAACCTTTTCTTGAAAAAAAGCAATCGACAGTGTAGACTGGATATGGGAGAAGAGTCTGATCCACAACTGCTCTGCACGAAAAGAAGATTAGTTAAATAAACTCAGTACAGAGTACTAAAAAATCGACCTCAAAAGCCATTCATCCTCTAATTTGCCACCCTTGTATTGGGACTATTTCTCTTTTCTCTTTCAAACAAAAAAAGAATCATCAAAATCGGTTCACAAATACATAACAAAGTAAAATACACACAAAAATATATACAATCAAATTGAGAACCTCCTCCATTTTTTGAAGTCGGTTAAAAAGAAATTTATTTTATAGCTAGGACGAACGAGCATCTTATGCACGTACGCCTTGTGCGGGTGGAAGGGGGTAGCAGCTGGAACTGGGAACGAAGGTAGAAAGGGGAATAATAAATGTAGGCCATACAAATATTTCCCCCGGCCCGGGAATCGTACCCGGGACCTCTACGTGGCAGAGCAGCATAGTAACCGTTCGGTCACGGAGACAGTTATGTATAGGCCGCACGACTTGCTCGATTGCTTTATAAAAGATAATAAAAAAACCCCGAGTGGCAGCCAAAGACATGCTCGGTTTCATAACCAAGACGCCCCTTATACAATTTGAGGCTAAGGCTAATTTTCACTACAACATTTAGTACGAACCAT